GAGAAGGTCATTTGCTATTCAGCATCTACAGATGCGTTATTATTACTTAGAAACAATAGTAATTTACTAAAAATTAGCAAATCACACATCATTTTGGAGGGGGAGAAAGCCCTTATTTATGGAAAATTATGCCCCAGTTGTGCTGTTATTAGATCTATCTCATTTCCGTAAGGATGCTGGGGGGATTCCTTCTAGCTGTACAAAATGTGCATAGCAGGCTGTCCTGTCATCTCCACCCCCCCTTTACTAGCAAGCGAGCAGTCACTGAAGCAGGGACAGGTCAGAGACAGGCTCCTTGCAGTGCTACCTCCAGCTGTAGCTTCCTGCTGCTCACCAAGCTTCTTAGCCTCTCTGGGTCCCCTTCTGCTGAACTTTCTCCTGTGATCCCCCACGTGTGGGATCTTGAGCCAGCACCTAAGAGGTGTCCTAACCTTATCAGTTAAATATTTTAATGTGTACTTATTTATTTAATCAGTCATACAGCTACATAGTTCAAATGTGAAAGACATAAAGGGGGATTCATTGCCACCAGCCTCCCACCTGCTCCTCTCTGAGTATCCCTGTCCCAGTTCCCAGTTTTATTTTGCAAGCTCAGAAATCCCAAGAGACTGTTAAGGGCAAATGGAAAGCAAGACTACTCGATTTGATCTAAATGAAAGGGATTTAATCTAAGGTGATATTGCTCTAAGGTGCTTGTCCCATTCATTACCTCTCCCAGGTTTTCTGACACTTCAGAGAGCAACACCTAGTAACTACTACTAGTTACAGCACCTTGTCAAGGAAGTTGATTTTGAACTTGCTAATATGCAAAGGAAATGGTCCCATCTTTTCTGCATAACTTGGCTAGTAAGAAACTGTTTTGTCTTATTTATCATTTTCTTTATTTAAAATGCTCTTTTCGGGGCTGGGGATTTAGCTCAGCGGCAAAAGCGCCTGCCTGGCATGTGCAAGGTCGTGAGTTCAGTTCCTGATACCGGAGAAAAACCAGAAAAAAAAAAAACCAAAAAAAACAAAAAAAAACAAAAACAAAAACATGCTCTTTTCTCCTGTTGAAGGAGAGAAAGGAATAAGGTAAAGATTTGTTTTCTGGGCTACTTTGAGATTTTTATATCTTAGGCCAGGACAAAACACACAAGAAATAAAATACCAGTAAAAGGTTTAATTTCTCTTTAGTTAACCTCTGCATTTATCTGTAAAGAATGGGAGAGTTGAGCAAATAATCAGTGCAGGGAGTACAGCTAAGCAGACAGTAACTAAGGTGTGCCTCTTGCCCTGCAGTTGTGAATAAAATGATTTATTAAAACATACTTCAACCATTGCTGTGCTAACCAAATATTTTCTTCAAAATTTAAAATGTACAGTGCAAAATAATCATCTGACCACTACTTATCAAGAAAGGGCTTTAAGGACTTCTTTTCTCATGACAATTTTCAATTCATATGGTAGTTGGGATTGGTAGTGTAGCTCAGTGGTAGAGCAGGTGCTTTAACAAGTTCCCAAGCCTTGGGCTCAATCCCAAGCACCAATAAAAGAAAACAAAAACTTTAAAATATGGTTGTCATTTTGCAAGAACCGAGAAGGACCACCCCCTTCTTCCAAGGTCTGATACTGGGGAATCATTGTACATGAAATAGTGATCAAAATCCATTTCACTTAGGAAAGTAACGTGATTGTACTCGCTTCGGCAGCACTTATACTAGAAAAGTAACGTGATTACAAAGATATTCTCCCCCATCACATAAATCAAACCTGTAGCCTGTAGGTATACATAGCAAGTTACACACTAACAAGTTCCCCTATAGTCCAGCTGGAGGTTGCTGCATTGAAGGATAAGATTTTGAGGGCTTTTTCCTGTTCTATTAATAGATTAATTAATTCTATGCATTCACTTAGTCAACAGACATGTGCTAAGAGCCTATAACCGTGGACATCATCATGCAGATCAGTGTCTAGCCTCAGGAAACACAACCAAGCAAAAGTTTACTTTCCATTAACCACCGGGGGCCTGCTGTTGCGGAGCTTTGCTGCTCCCCGCAGGAGCCGGCGCGGGGTCGGCCTCAGGCTGCCGCAGGGCCGCGCACGAGGCGC